TAATACTTTTATGGTTGACTCATTTATTTTATACATATTTTTCTGACTTTTCATTTAGTATAAATTCCTTGAAGTGGAATTACTGAGTTAAAGATTGTGAACATCTTTAATAGTATTGCAAAAGTTTTCTATGAATAGAAGCTTCTCAGGGAAGTTTCTAATAATTTATGCTTTTGACTTGTACTATGTGAAGGCAATCAATTTAATGAATATTTTATGAATATTAGGAAATATAATTTAAGATTATTTTCTAGTTTTTGTCTCAACTGAAATTTTTAGGAAAGGATTTTCTTTCAATTTGAACAGAAGACTTGAAATACATGTTAAGTCATAGAGGATACCTCCCTACAGAGGATTGCCTTGTGTTTTATTTCTAATGATTTCTCATATGAAGAATATTTATATTTAAACTTGAAAATTTTGGACAGATATGAAAGTAATATGATCAAGGAAAGCAGAGAGAAACATCGAGAGGTAAAGTAAGACTTGGAAAATGCAACTCAATCACTACGTGTCTCACAAACACCCATGTTTATAAATCTCAATGTAAAGTAAAACAGGTTACAGAATTTAGTAATAAAATAATTTTCTTCTTCACTTCTGTGAGAAATAAAGAGCTGTACCACATGTGTTCTCAGTATATCATAGAAACAGTCTTACAACAAGGAATAAACTATTTGATTTTCCTACTATTTTTTGTATAATTCCTTTCATAGTTTGTTCTGTTTAAGCACCCATACAACAGAATAAATTTGTTCTCCAGGAATTCAGAGATCATCTAGGGCTCCTGTCTCCTTTTATGTGACCTTTATGATCACTATGATCAGAAATCCTAGCATGATCTACTAATCAATTTTAATCAGTTTTCTTTGTTTCTCACTAACTCTATCCCACTTACTTGTGTTATTCTTTTATCATTTCCCCTAATACTCTGCTAAATATCCGATTGAACAACTTATTTGTGAACATAATACTCAACCCTTTGTTTTGATTTTGCTGTGTCTTTTGTTTTAATTCCTTGCTGGTATCTGGGGCTTTCTATTGGCCAGATGGCCCATACCACTCTGTGGTAATCTGTGACACTGTCCCTCACAATGTCGTGCTCCCTCCCCATCTGCACTTCATTCCCAATGTCACTAAAAGTTCATGTGCTGAAGACTTGGTAGCCAGTATAGTACTACCGATTGGTGGTAGAGCCTTTAGAGTCTGGAGTCTGTTTGAAGGACAGCAGAGGAGTGCCCTTGAAGGGGACTGTGGAACATGGTCTCCTTGTCTTCATCTCTGCTTTCTGGCTCATGATGCAAGCAGTTATAACCCATCATCCACTCCTACCATTGCCTTCTCTCTTTCCAGAGCCAAGACCATGGGGCCAATCCTCAACATGGATGGCTTGAGACACACCTAGGAAATCAGTGCATTTCTGGGTGTGTTTGGGTAGGTCACGGGGGAGTGAGCTTGTGGAGTGTATCTGGTCCCTGGTGCTTTCCTCTCTAGCTCCTGCTGACTAGCTCAGATTTCTGGCCATTGACATAGCAAGTGAGTTCAATGAGAATAGCATTCACAAGAGACCTGGAGAGCAGGAATGAAAAAAGCTTTATTGAGCCAGTTGATGGACAGTCTTTAACCAGGAATGAGAGAAGATCTTCGCCCTGATCTGGGTCTCACCTTCAGTTTAAGTACATTTTACATTTCCATAGTAGCCAATACTTCATTTTTGTGAGTCTTACAAGAATGCACAAGTTTACTTTCTCAGGAGATGTTGGACAGCCAGATCCCAAATGACCATTACAGTTTAACTTTTAGCCTACTTCCCAATTTTTCCTGTTTGTTCTGCTCCCATTTTATGACTCTGCCCTCCTTTAAATGGGTTGATAACTAACTGAGGGGAAGGAGTGAAGGGTGGGAACCAACTACCGCTTAAGTGAACTCTAAGAGGTTTCTCTTAATATGGAGTTAGAAACAGAAAATGTTGTCTCTCTTGCCCTATCACCATGACAAAATTTAACCCTCTCCTTCACTCTGCCAGTCCATTATGATGTCTCTAACTCGATGGCGGCTGACTACTGGCTGAAACAATTTACATTTGCATTAATTAATTATGTCAAAAATTCTTATGATTTTTCTTTATGTCATCTGTTTCAAAGAAGACTGGATCCAACAACTTCAGTTGTCTTGGTTGACCACAAAAAGTGTAAGTTATTGATATAGGAGAGCACTCTATGGTGGTTAGAATGAGCTAAGCCTGCCTTGTGGTCTCTGTTTAAGGGATAAAGTGGTTTCATTTAGAGCATGCAGAATGCAAACATCCTCCCTCCTAATCTGCTGCAGATGGTGGAATGGAAAGAAATAGGAAAAAACAATGACCTAATTCCAAATCATTACATAGATTTCTTTAACAGAAAAGCATGTCAAAGAGGACTGCTGTCCAGTTGCTTCAGCAGTGATGCACATCCACTCCACTGAAACAGGTAACAGACAGTTTACCTGACAAATGCTTATTGAAACCTGCATGAAACTTTGAAAGTAGCAGACAAAAACACAAAGCACACTGATTATCACCTTCAAATTATTCCAACTGATGCACAAAGTCATGGAACTAAGAGCACATTTTCCAATTACTGCTGTGGTTCTCTTATTATAATAACATTTAGTATTATTCAAAACTGAGTGTAAGTGTTATTATGTTGTAGTATGTTCTGTGATCCACCATCCTGATGTGCTTTCCATGGAAGAATTATTTATTCACAACTTCCAAAAATTTTGGTAGCTGACAAATTACAGGTGATTTCCATGCTTGTAATCACCCTGCTGAAAGGACTTGTCTTGCCCAAGGTAGTCCATTTACTGAGAAACCCACACTTCCTGTTGTCACTGTGGAGTTATAAGCATAAAATACCTCTGAATGTCCATCTCAGCTCCAGGGCTACATCTGAGACTGAAGCAGTCCTGCTCTGCAATTCATCACAGCTTCATTCACTAGACCTAGCTTCACTAAAAATTCAGGTGTTGCACAGGAGAACGCTCTCCAGTAATCATACATGAAAAGTCTGCTTTGAGGCTCTTTACCTTGAACTTATCCAAGGAAACCAATAAATATATTATAAAACAGATTGTGTTAAGCTAGACACTAAATTAGAAGTGTGAACCCAAGTCAGTAAAGTGCAAACATGTGCATACTTTTATCACACACCAAGGTCATCCACTGTATTTGGGGATACATGCACATTCATGCAAGGTGTCAGAAGATTAAGATGTATGTCTCATTTTTGAATGACATAAAGCATAGGAAGCATGTTAGCACTCAAAAATAAATATGAAATAAATACTCTACATAAAAAGAAGTTGGGTAACGACTTTAAAATGGGTGTTTTTTTTAAGACCTTCTTAAGTGCCTCTTTCACATCCCTATTTTTCAAACTGTAGATGACAGGATTTAGCATGGGGATCACTACTGTATAAAACACAGACACAACCTTGTCCTGCTCCATTGAGTAGCTGGATGTAGGTCGCAAGTACATGAAGAGAATCGTCCCAAAGAAAAGGGTGACAGCCATGAGGTGAGAGGCACAGGTGGAGAAGGCTTTGTACCTCCCCTCTACCGAAGGCATTTTCAATATTGCAAGGAGAATACACACGTAGGAAATAAGGACAATCATAACACAGCTGATGACATTAAAACTGGAGAAAGCCATGATCACAATGCCGTTGATGTGTGTGTCAGAGCAAGAGAGTTTGAGCAGGGGTGGTGTGTCACAGTAGAAGTGGTTGATCCTATTAGAGGCACAGAAAGACAATCTGAAGGTCATCCCTGTGTGCACAGCTGCATTTCCAAACCCTGCAAGGAAGGAAGTACCTACTAACGTGACACAAATTCTCCCAGACATGAGAACTGGGTAGAGCAGAGGGTTCCAAATGGCAGCATAGCGGTCATAGGCCATCATCGCCAGCAGGAAGCATTCAGTTCCCAGGAAGGAGCCAAAGAAGTAGAACTGGGCAGCACATCCATTCAAAGAAATGGTCTTCCTCTCAGCCACGAGGTTCACCAGCATCTTAGGAGTGACAGAAGAAGAGTAAGAGGCATCAACAAAGGAGAGGCTGCTGAGAAAGAAGTACATGGGTGTGTGCAGATGGGGATCCAGCTTAATCAGTGCCATCATCCCCAAGTTACCCACCATCGTCGCCACGTAGATGGACAGAAACAATGCAAAGAGGATGCCTTGTAGGTCTGGGTTGTCAGAGAGTCCTAAGAGGATGAATTCTGTCACTTCTGTTTGGTTTCTGCCTCGGTCCTCATTCATGTGTTTGATCATTTGAGCTGCAATAAGAGAGAAAATCAAACACTGCATCTGGTCAGATGAATACCTGATAGAACTATGAATATCACTGAAACCTATAAATCATAGCAAAAGATAAAACTCGATGAGTATAAAAGTGTGTTAGATTGTTGTCCATTCAAAGGGCTTTTGTCTGAATACACAGCATGCTGTATACTAAATAATGACCCAGAAAAAGAGGTATTTCACGTCCTTTAACTATGATCTTTTTGGCATTAACTATTTAATGATGATAGGAACATATTGTTAAGTGATAACTGCCATTATTATTTATAGAAAATAAATTAACTGATAAATTAAAAACCTTATAGGTCCAACATCTGGAGAGAAATGACAGGATGAAGTGAATAAGTGAACTATTGCTTCTTGGTACAATTGGAAATTTTTTAAACTACTGAAAGCAAGAGAGGTTAATCAGTATTGCCACTCAAGGAAAATAGTTGTATCACAAGCAAGAGGGGCACTTTAAAATTTTATTGTCAAAGAAAGAATCAAGAGCAGTTGAATACAATCAACATGGTTTAAATAACCCTCAACTCCCAAGAACTCATATCTGCAAGAAAAGAACCAACTGCACATTAAGACTTCTCAATTCTTCTCTCCAATAATTAGAGAATTAGGGAATCAGAATGAATAGCTCTAATGAAAAGGGCAGCAGTAGTCAAGATGGTGAAAACACTCAACAATCAGTTTCATAGTTCCATGACAGAACCTGTGACACAATTGTTTGATACAGACAGGAACTCTGTTTCTCAGTAAGTTAGACAAAATGACTTTGAATGGGTGAACCATGTAAAAGATAAATATTTAAAGAGATAAAGATGTTTTACTGTACTTAAAGATTCCATGACCAAAACATCATAGTACTCCATTGCAATGTGCAATTTTATTTTTGTATATAAGTTAAAAGTAAATTTAGTCAGTAATAATTTAAAAATAACAGAGCTGGCAGGAACCAGAAGTAACACATGAAACTTTTGTCCCCCATATGGAATCAGATAAATAACACCAGGTAATTTCAATGGAAGTAAAATTTACAGTGCAAGTTATGTCAAAGTTAATACAGGACAAAAAAAAAAAGAAAACTTCAGAATATATGTTCAGCCTAGATATTCTGAGGTAGCATCTAAAAATCGGTACCATTCAGTGGCATTTCCTTCACTTGCTCTCAAGCACCCCACTTGTTCAATATCTTCGGGCTGTTGAACAGTAAAATGGACCAAGCTACCATTGAAATATTACTCAGCATTTCAAAGTAAAGAGTAATGCAGGACTGAAAGAACAATCATATTTGCTACTGCCTAAAAGTAAATTATGGGACCAGCATTACTCAATATCTTTGTTCACATCTACTGAACAGAGATGGAGACAAAAATGAACAAGAGCTGATTTCGTTCCTCCAGACACTGCCGTACATAGAAGCGTCCAATCAAACAAGTGTCTATGAAGACAGGTGTTGGATGGCATAAGCAGTGATGAAACATGACATTTTCTTTCTTTTTTTAAATTCCAAGAAATCCAGCTACCTGACTTCTGGGTATTTTCCCAGAAGAGTTAATGGCATTACATTACAATGACACATGCATACCCATTTTTATAGCAGCACAGTCATCACAGCCAAATTATAGGAGCAGCCTCTGTTCCCATGAACAAATAAATGGATAAAAATGTGTGGATCACTCTTCAACTATAAATAAAGATAAATTTGAGCCATTTGTAGGAAAATGGGTGAATCTTGAGACCATAATGCTAAGGGAAATAAATCCGACAAAAAATATCAAATATTGCATTGTTTCTTTTAGATGAGAAACTCCAGACATAAATAATTGAAAGAGCAAAACTTTGAAGGTGGGAAAGTTGATCTGGAGAAGGGGAAGAGAGAGAACAAAAATGATCAATAATATGTATATAGACTATATTCCCCCAAATTTGTATATATGTATAAATTCCCTAAAATTTGTGTGTATACATGTGTGTGGATACATATATATATGCAAATTTCCAAAAATATATGTAGTTATTTTCTATCACAGTCATATATCAATAAATATTTTAAACATCATATTTTCATAGATTTCTATAACTTTTTCAATGTCATTGCATCTATTGAGCAAATTAAATAAACAGGAAATATTTCAAGAGTATTGATAAGGTTTTCCTTCATGGAAGCGATCAGCAAATACAGGAGTTTCTCAGCTCATCAATTCCTCCCTGAATTTAACATATTTTTCTTGATGCCAGTGTGTTTGCTCTTTTCCAATACCATATGTTGCTCATTTCTGGATTTTACTGACATACATGATCAACCTAGGCCCTCTTCCTTAGAGTGAGTTTCATGAGCTATATCTCCAAAGATAAGAGAAAAAGAGGAATGGATCTTCTTTCTCTAGTGCCCCTCTGGAAAATTTTCCTGAACATAAAAATCTGAGAAAAATGGAAAAAAATAATAAAATGTCTCAAATGACTTAACCAAAGTAAGTAATGAACTAAAATACTAAAACTTAAAACGTGACAGTTTTTGATGATTTTCTGTGTTCTACAAGTATATATTTTATTTATATTATTTGTCTTATAAAATACATACTATTATGCCTTTTTGCAGAGGAGAAATGTGTGCTTAGTAATGATTAACTTCCTAAAGAATAAGTACTAATGCACTACATAATGATTCTATGCATCATGGCATTTTCACAGGTACATAATATAACTTAATTACTTTTTCATCCCTCTCTCCTTCCCTCCCTCCTTCCTTCCTTAGTCTCTTGCTCCCTTTCCATTATTTTCCCTCACCCTGCTGACATTTTTCAGGCAAGCCATTGTCTCAGAGATACCCAATCAGAGTTTAAAATTTTTAAGAGTCTCTGAAAGTAATTGCACAATTTTCTGAGCTATCTCTGGTGTTTAAAAGACACAGTCGTATTATTTGATGAGGCTTATATTTCTCCAAATGACCTACAAATCTCTTAGTAATGAAAGTAGATGCAAGATTTCATTAGCAGATTTGTTACTCACTATGGCTTTGGAACTGTGGGTCTACAGGTTATTGAAGAAGTTCACACCAAATTTGTTTTTGAAGTCAGGAAGTTTACTGGAAAGAAAGTATTATATCTTGGCCTAACCTTTGTAACTGTTCAACTTCTATTTGATTTTTTGTTTGTTTGTTCCTGATCAATGTCTAAATTCACCAAAAGAAAAAAATAGCCATAAATCTCTTCTGTTAGAAAGTCAATCCCTCTAATCAACCAATCAAGCTTAGGCAGGAAGCATGGTCTATTGAATTACACACCATCTATTAAGAAGTGGGAACACTGATCTTCTAGACCTTCCCTGCAACAAGAGAGCTATTCTGTATTAGGTAGAGATTCTTTTTATCTTTTATTTTTCCTTCCAGATAAACATCCCAATATGTAATATCAGGATCCAGTGTTTTATAGCACCTAAAGTACATCACTGTGCTGCACCTGTGATATGCTTCACAATCTGAGTCTTCACCGTCTTCAGAACAGACTCAGGAGCTGGCAGCATACCTCATTTTAAGTAGGATGTATTTCTTGTCTTTTGGTCTCTGGGGACTCTATCCTCATGTCACCTCATTGTATCTAATTGTTTTTTCCCTTCCAAAATTGAGGAAAGCGTCGGTCCGTCTCTTATTTCTCTGAGCTCAATGGAGAACAAACTTGAGTACTATTGTCTTAACTATTATTAAACATCCTTCTTCCTCCCTGGATAACTTGAGGTGTGGTACACCTGGAAAGAACAAGGGATGATCAAAAATCATGATGGATGCTCAAATTAAAAAAAAAAAACTTATTACAATAAAAAACACATTGCCAAAAACAAGTTGTTAGGAAAACGAAATTTTTTAATATTTTGAGAGAGGCTTACGGCAATGTGTGTGTGTGTATATATATATGTATATATATATAATATTCACTGTATTCAGTGATCACACCTCATATACAATGGACTATGGAGTTCAAATGGGGGAATAAATGAAGTTTGGGCACAAAAGTCCATCTATGTGGCAACCATGGTGGGTAACTTGGGGATGATGGCACTGATTAAGCTGGATCCCCGTCTGCACACACCCATGTACTTCTTTCTCAGCAGCCTCTCCTTTGTTGATGCCTCTTACTCTTCTTCTGTCACCCCTAAGATGCTGGTGAGCCTCGTGGCTGAGAGGAAGACCATTTCTCTGAATGGATGTGCTGCCCAGTTCTACTTCTTTGGCTCCTTCCTGGGAACTGAATGCTTCCTGCTGGCGATGATGGCCTATGACCGCTATGCTGCCATTTGGAACCCTCTGCTCTACCCAGTTCTCATGTCTGGGAGAATTTGTGTCACGTTAGTAGGTACTTCCTTCCTTGCAGGGTTTGGAAATGCAGCTGTGCACACAGGGATGACCTTCAGATTGTCTTTCTGTGCCTCTAATAGGATCAACCAAGTCTACTGTGACACACCACCCCTGCTCAAACTCTCTTGCTCTGACACCCACATCAATGGCATTGTGATCATGGCTTTCTCCAGTTTTAATGTCATAAGCTGTGTTATAATTGTCCTTATTTCCTACATGTGTATTCTCATTGCAATATTGAAAATGCCTTCAGTAGATGATAAATTCTGTTACTTCTGATTGGTTTCTGCCTCAGTCTTCATTGATATGTTTGATCTTTTGAGCTTTAATAAGAGAGAAGATCAAACATTGCATCTGGTCAGATATATATACTTCATAGAACAATTTATAAGTTTTATTGACACATAAGTTCTAACAGAAATAATAAAATTTGGGGGCCTGGTAAAAATTGTCTTGGAAACCAACATCGTGAAAATGGCCATACTTC